CAGAGCAACTTGAACAAAGAGATGCCCAAAAAATATGCTTCCTATTTACCTCACTTGTGATTCATTAGGACGAATTACTGGCCGTACACCAGAACATACCACTCCCATTGAACGGTACGGCGCAAACAGCGTCGAGTCTTTGCGACGCATCGTCCCCGGATATAATACTGAATAAATAGTTACCAAAAGTAATAACAGAAATACAATTTGGACGACCGATAGCAATGGCTCCGTTGGCCGCTCGTAAATGAAGACAAAGAGGTTCACGCAATTAAAATAAGCAAATCTGAGGTAATATGGAATGAAAGCAAATTTGAAAATAAACAAGATAGAAGATAGGCGGTGAAAAACAGAAGAATAATTGAAGAAAAACCGCTAATTCTGGCAAACAGCCAACTCCATGGAAGATTTTTGCTCTGCTGATAGGAAATGCTCTGTTGCTAAATAATGTCGCTGGCGCAAGTATTGGCAGTAGTCCATGTCGGTTTTACTGACTTTTGTGACGAGTTCTGCTTTAAAGTTTTGTGTTTTTCAGCTTGATTTTGAACTTTTACAGGTGAGCTGAGTCGAAACGAATAAATAGAATTCTGAATGCTATTAATAAGAATGCATAATGAGAAGTATTGCTAGTCGGGCTGTGAACAACTGTTTTATATAGTGTTAGTTGGTAATGTTTTAAATCGCTTTTCTTTTTCATTTATACTAGCTCTCTGCAGTTTAGCGGCTTACTTTTCTCGATGTCTATGAAAGTCGAATTTTTTACTGCCTTGTCTTTTTTATAGCGTTCTAAAACAGAACGGCTTTTGCTTGTAAGCATTTTATGGACTCATGAGCTTTATGAATGGTATTTTCCTATAAAATTTATAATTTTCATAATACTAGAGGATTAAGTTGAAACTATCAAAATGTCCGTCTTCTGTTCGGTTCAAACTCTTGACCTACTGTCCCCAATATTTTCTTAGTTTTCTCCCAGTATATCTTCTTCTTTTACGTTGTTCTGATTTTATAGGACAGTATATTTACTATTACGATTTATTACCTACGATTTGAATAGGTAATGCGCTGAATATGCCCGTAACATGGTCTTTTGTGCTTCAGTTCTTTCAAGTAAAGCACTTTTAGAAATTTTGGAAAACGTCAATGGCGTCAAGCTCAACGACTCGATATTCACGACTTAAGGACCATGATGATGAAGAGCCTGGCGGTAGCGCATTCGAGGAGATACTAATGAAGCAAGAGGTTAGTGATACTTGGTACTTCTTGCCTTCCACATAAGGCATGTCATTTTGTCTTATTATCCATTCCTGCTGATGCCTCAACCCAGCAACTTTGTACGGCATATTTGATCGCCTACTTCTTTATTTGGAATGATTTCCTACATTCTTTGTCTTACTCGTTTTCATAGGCCCACGTCTATTCACAAAACTCTTCTTCCATTTAGTGTTGTAGTCCTTAACAGTCTTCAGAATGCAACAGTTGACATAGAATCCCCTTTGTTTTTGAAAAAAAGATGTATGTAGAATTGTCGTATATCGCTGAGATACATTCACGAAGCTTCTGTACATTTGTAACTTTATTTCGGAATTACAGCTTCTCTGTATAGTCATTTTCCTAATTCAAAAGTTCCTCTGCATCTCCTTATACAGTTTTTTGGCTCTCCATTTTACTGATCAGTTTTATTAACCATCACAACTTTCATGAAAAGTAGTTGTTTTTATAGCAAATCATTCGCGAACAAGATGAAGATCTCGTACTTGTTGGAAATTCAGTAACAACTTTGAAACATATGAGCTACAAGATTGGTGATGAGCTTGACCAACAGGCTGTGTAAGTTGTTTTAACGAGCGCTTGGAGGGGAAACTTTTATTAGAATCCCACAAGATTTATTAACCAACTTGTGGACGATCGACTCATCTACAGTTTTTTCAGAATGTTGGACGACTTAGGACAAGAAATGGACACGGTCGATACGAAATTAGATAGTGTTATGAAGAAAATTGCAAAATTAACGCATATGGACGACGGTACGTGCCTTTTCTTGCATCGAACAATTTGGATTTTTTAAATTTTTTTTTCAGATAAACGGCAATGCAAAATGATCATGATTCTCAGTGTTGTGATATTCTTTTTGTTGTTCCTGTTAATTGTACTATAGATTCTGATTGTATTTTGTGTATGTGATTGCTTTTCTTATCATATCTTTCTTAGGTATTGGGAGATTGCTAATTATTAGCAGAGCCCCGTAACTTGCCGGTTCGAATCATTTTTTTGTTCTGTTTTTGACGACGGTACCGAGTTTAAAATAGTTCATTTTCACGTTTTGAAATCTCCTGCTTCGTTTCTCATTTTTTTTTGTTAGGTGAGCCCTTGCTTTATCGTCATGTCTATTCGAAACATATTTTTATCGTAATGATAATGATTATTAAATGATGTAATAAATTTGTCATATTAAGTAAATTGTAAGAGCATAACGTGAAATGTTGAAGGGTGGAATAACATTTCTTCTTTGCCCTCACTGAAAAAAAGTTTCTGGTGTCTCTCCCGTTGCTGATGGGATTCACAAAAAATGTTGTAGAACCAGCTGCTCCGGCAAGGAGACCTTGCTATTCTTACAGTAATCAGCTCTAGGAACTTGCTGATGCTGCTCCAGGACAAATGACTGGAACGAGATTCATATGCAATAAGCATTTGAACTTCTTCCTCAAATTCTAGGCGCGTTCGGCATTGCTCCGGAAGGAGCTGTGAGAGGCTGATCAAGGAAAGACGGTCCAATTTTCCGCAACGAAAAGTCGACCGCCTTCCCTCGAACAGCTTCTCACCATTACTCCCGGAATCGAGACGTTTTCCCTTACCATCAGACTCATGGGCTTTTGACCAAACTCTGCCCCCCCCCCTCTGCGCACGCCCCGCCCACCATGAATATTTAACTGCTTTTTTTCGGTTTTAGAACGTTTTCAATGTTGGATAATAACTCCGTCTACCTTGACGTACGATCCGCCATGAACCTCCTTCTTCAACGGCTTCTGATACCTTTTCCTGTGTTCTAAGAGGTCTCCGAACAGAATTATGAGTATTTGACGTTCGCTTCGCCCAGCCAAAAGCTTTAACACCTGGCTTCCTGGCGACTATTTTCACCCATTTCTGCATACTCTACCTCTTTACCTATACTACGGATACACCAGCCTATGCCCTTGTTTCTCCGTTCTCCGTACATTCAATCATCATCAGAACCAATTACCAGGCTCTTAATAAAGTGAAAAAAAGAAGAAGTACCACCACTAAATTCACCCAGTGAAACGGTGTGAACCCATCGAATGATTGAAAGGTCTGCTTTCACTTGCACCCTCTCTGCAATTAGGTGGAACCTTTTGTAATCACCCGCAGGTTCTACGGGTCGCGGCTAAATGACGTTTCTCGTTAGGAAGGATGTATCCACCGAATGGTTGGGGACGCGTTTTTTTT